AGTTTGGTATTTCGGTACGAGTACTGTGAGTAGTAATCTTACTGCAATTTGTGTTTTCATACCCTGCATGGTTTACATATTATTTTAAAAAGAAAATATGTTACCAAATATTTAAAATTACATGTGGGACAAGTCCTTTACTTGATATGGTACTGAATAGTTGACTTGAGATGCTTATAGTTATTTAAAAAGTTCTTCCTGTTACTAGACATGTTTTACTGTTACTAGAGATATGATTACCGTTACCGAAATTGGATTACATGATTTGATAAAAATTAAAATGCCTTGTACTGTTTTGAAAATGCTTCCATGTGAAGACTTACTGTTTACAAAGAAAAGTATGAATGGGAGGAGACTTTGAAGGATCCTGTAGCTAACGGCGGGTTCGTTAGACCTGGTGCACCTTGTATTTACTGATTACCGAGTACAGTTATAGCCCTCGCTGGAGGGAAGGTAGAACTAGCATACAGTTACAGTTTTCCCTCTAGTAGGGACCTATAGTTATATTTGACTCCTTTTACGAAGGGGTCCACACAATGATACAGATTACATGATCCTTTCTTGGAAACCTTCCAAACATAAAGATTTGCTATGATAAAGTGTTTACTGAGTTTATTACCGATTTATTAAATTGATTTATGTTACAGGAAACTAAAAAGACTGATTATATTTACCGTTTTAGAAAGAGCATTCTTATGATATTTTCTATTTGATATACTAGCATGTTTTCTGACTTGTCCCCAATTAAAAACAGTTGTGATTAAGTATTATTACTCACTGAGCTAGCGACTCACTCCCCGCTATTATTTTTACAGAGACAACAGTAGACGCAGGCGAGAATTTCGTTAGTTAGAGTACACGAGTTGACAATTCCTGGTGAGCCTCGCATTTATTCGCGTGAGCAAAGATTGTTATTTATTTGTTATAGTCTCTTTCTTAAAACTCTTAAAGCCGTTCCATAGTCATTTTTATGAGTCATAAATATTCTTTTATTGATATAGACTTGTTACTCGTATTAGACTTTCCTATCGTATACTTGGAGATGAAGTTAGTATCATTGTGTTGGAAATACTTCGTGAATGAGGATTATAACTTGTTTGGTCGATATAGGTTGGTTGTGTTGTTGATTTCTGAGACAAGTTTATTTTTGGATAGTCCTAAAATAGGAAAAACTCTGTCCGATTTTCTGTAAATTATCGATGAGGCTTACTTGGGAGCACTTGCTCCTAAGCGACGGCCATGATCCTAAATTGGGTCGTGACAAACTTTCGCATTGCAAATCCCACACAACATTTTTGGTGTTAATACTCGGTATAGCAGTGTCTTTACTGTTGCTCAATAATACTCTAACCGTTGCAATTTATGTTAACTTATTTCTTTTTTAGTTCCGTTTCAAAAAGAATAAACCCTTTCTAAATTTGAAAAAAATATAACTTAAACTTTTAATTTTATCATCACAGACAAGCTTTTATAACCACCCAAACACTGTGACATGTTTAACTCCACAAGTTTCAAAAGAGTTATAGTCACACAAATGTTATAGCTTATTTAGAACCATACGCTTTTAAAATTTTTATTTCTTTTTTAAACTTTGTATCCAGTTAAATAGGTTCACAAAAATTGGAATGGAGGGAGTATATATTAGCATACTCAGTGTTGCAGTTACATTTCTTTCTTTCCATCAGCCAATCAACCATTCAATTCAAGATCCATATGATAGTTCATAAATACGTGAAATAAGAATATCGCTTTCAAAGTAAAAATTATTAAAGGAAAAAGAAAATCAAGTGTCAGCAGGGAGCAGAATAGTTCAAAGGATTTATACTTGAGAGTGAAGCTAGGCTTTTGTATCAGATCAGTTTGGTTCTACTCAACCATATCTTTGCTTCAGGTTTGGGTTTAAGTTACTGCTCCCAATTATTCTAATCCTTAATAAAGGTCAACAAAAAGACCAGTGAAGTACTGAAACAAGTAGATAAATTGCTTGTTCCTAAATATAAGGCCAAACCTTTTGACCTTAAACACGAATTTGGATAAACAAATTTATATTTCAAACCAAATGTTTATCCTTAAAAGAATATACATATAATAATTAATTATCGTTAGGTGATTGAAGTTTATGGAAACAGCCTCTCTACCCCAGGGTAGGGGTAAGATCTTCGTACACATTACCCTTCCCAGACCCCACTAGTGGGATTATACTGGGTTGTTATTGTTGTTGTTGTTATAGGTGATTGAAGTTTACGTCGAAGATACATGGTATGTACTATTAAATATTTGATGCAAACAATGGTAATTGTATTACAATTTACAACTACGTTCCTATTTCATTATAGCTAGTCCATAATAATTCATCAGGGGTGGCAATTTGAGCTCAAACTCATCCAACCCGCCTAACCTCTAGAGATTAATGAGTTGGATTATAAGTTATAACATTAGCCCAAGTTAATTCATTATTTTTTGCAGCCCATTCTAACCCATGAAATAGCCTAAATACAACTCATGAAACTCACCCCAAAACAAAGGTATCTCAACATTTACTTAATTACCACCCACNAATTTCCGAGGACATGTCACTTGATAGAAAGATGTGGAGGTCGAGCATTAGGGTTGTAGGTTAGGAGGTAGTTGAGCCGTGCCTTATTTCGTACCATTGTGGGACTAGCCATGTAAGGTTTTTGTCTAAGATATCTAGTGGCTATGTTGTGGCTTACTATTTCGCTTTTCAGTGCATGTCCTATTTACTAGCTATCGCTTTTGCTTTGCATCTTTCTTCTAGATTTCATGGTGTTCCTATTTTTCTTATGATTGTTGTGGTGATACTAATATTTACTAATATTGTCTCCCTTTGCTTTGCATCTTTNTTACTAGCTATCGCTTTTGCTTTGCATCTTTCTTCTAGATTTCATGGTGTTCCTATTTTTCTTATGATTGTTGTGGTGATACTAATATTTACTAATATTGTCTCCCTTTGCTTTGTATCTTTCTTCTGGATTTCATGGTGTTCCTATTTATCCTATGATTGTTGTTGTGATACTAATATTGTCTCCTTTTTGTCTTTTTATCTTTTTATTTTTTTGAGCCGAGGGTCTTTCGGAAATAACCTCTCTACTCCTTCGGGGTAGGGGTAAGGTCTGCGTACACACTACCCTCCCCAGACCTCATTAGTGGGATTTTATTGGGTCGTTGTTGTTGTTAATTTTTCAATTTTCTGTTTTCTGTTTTTTCGTTTTCCTGCACCACCTACCCTCCCCAACCACCGCATTTTTTTTTTACTTTTTTTTTTTTGTATTTTCAATTTTCTGTTTTTTCGTTTCCCTGCACTATCCACTCACCCCAACCCCCTGCCCGCAAAAAATAAAAATTGTATTTTCAATTTTCTGTTTTCTGTTTTTTATGTTTTTCTGCACCTCCCCCCCTCCCCAAACCCCACCCGTAAAATATTTTTCAATTTACACATTTTAAATACTAATTTGTTATTTAAGAAAATATATTTTGATTCTCAAAATACTAATAGCATTTATTTACCTTTTATACATAGGTGTATAAAAGGTAAAAGACTTTGTTTATGCAAAATGAGCATGGTTCTAAAACATGGGTCAAGTTGGGCGGGTTGGGCTATAACCCATTGTTTAGCCCATCTTGACCTAGCTCATCTTAGCCCAAGTAAACTTTGGACTGGGTTGAACAATGACTCATTTATTGACCTAACCCATCTTTGACCTGCCCAAATCCAGCCCAACCCGCCTATTTGCCACCCCTAGAATTCATAGTCAATTCCCAACTTGCTTAGGATTAATCAGGCACAGCTGTTGTTGTATTCTATTTTTAAGTGCGCAGCCAATAAATGATCTAGAGATTTACAGTTTTCTATCATTTTACTCTTCTAAATCTTGGACAGACGAGAGTATGTGCGAATTACAAAAATATTGTAACGTATGGAAAACTGTATTGCCTTCAAATAGGAAACTCTAACCTATACCGCAAGAGATGCAGAATGATTTGATTGACTGCAAAGGACAAAAGTGGGCAGAATGAGCTGCCCTTTGTACACAGTCCCCATGCCATGCACATGTATCCTTCAAAATCTCGTGTTTTTCGCTACTCTTTCTTAGTTCCTTTATAAATCAGAATTACACAATTTATGTGGCTCTTCTGCATGCGTGAGAGCAGTTTGAGAAACCAATTTGAGATGACAAGCAGAATGACACATTAGAATTATATTTACTGAAAGAGCTAATTAGTAAGGCCATTCTTGTTTGTTTGCCCACAACTCTTTACACATTTCCTTAAGGACATAGATAGAGCAAAAGCATGAGGCACAGTCAAAACACAGCAGGAAGCAAAGGAAGATCATATGGACTTCTGCTGCTGCTCGCATTTAGTGCTGCCGTTTTTGGNCTATTTACATGATGTTCGATATATATCACTCAGTCTTCACTTTTTCACTAAGTAAACGTGAAATCCAAAATAAACAGGAATCAGTACTTCTCAATGGAGAAGTATACAGTTAAAAAACGTTTTATATAACAATTTTTCAGCAAAATCTGATGTTAAATTAACTCAGGTGACAAAACACAGGCTGGGCCCGGACGTTAAATCAATTCTTGAATTAATAGAAGTGCATTTTAATTCTTTTGGTAAGGGAAAAGATGGATGACAATTCTAATTCTATCGTGTTAATAGTTGTACAGAGCAATCAATGATCAATAAAGTTCTTCAAATTATGACATACCGCAAGTGTAATGCAGTTACCAAGCTAGGTTGTGGGCCTTCCCTTCATTACCCGCTGAACCCACCCATGATCAGTAGAGTTTTTTAATGAGACAAATAACAATCGTTATATCTTCTGCCATTGGCAAACTTTCGAACGTATTATGCTACCCAAGCTAACATTTTATCCTTCACCTGTGTGACAGAAAGAAAGAGAACAGACAAAAGAGGCCAGAAGGCAAATAGAGGACATGAAATCCGATATACACTTGCTTCGTACGCAGAAAATGGATCTCGATAGTAGGATCTTGGAGATGAAGTCGACAATCTCTTCCCTTAAAGAAGAACAAAGAACAGTTGAAGGTGCTCTTGAGGAAAAACAGATTGAAATTAAGATGCTTCAGGAAAACCACATGGAAACAAAGTCAGATGATTCACAAGTTACATCACTTTCTGAAACCTTGCGACAGAAAGAGGCTGAAATTGAGGATTTAAAACACCGACTGGAATTATCACCTGTAAAGGTCTGGTCAGTAAGTGCAGATGACCCAAATCCTGCAACAAATTTCACCACTGAGGCTGCTGGACATGATGGTAGAAGAGGAACTGAAGAGTTGCATGAATCCATCAAAAGAGAAGATCAGAAAAATTCAGCCGAAGATATAGACAGCAGTGTCAATGAATCTGCCCATAAGAGAAATGAGGAATTCACCGGGCATGTTGATGACACCGGAAAAGATGGAGAGAGATTTGAAAACGCGAACGGCAAAACTGGAGAAGAGCAGTCTCAGCAGCTGAAAACTTTTCAAGAAGATGTTCCAGGAAACAACACCATTTCTCACATTAATGAAGGACAAAAAGAGTATGATAACAGTTATAAGAATGAGAAAGAATCTTATCTAGACAACAAACGGTTCACTAATGACAATGCATCAAAGGAAACTGAGGATGATAGAAATCAAGTGCAAAAGCAAAGCAATGAAGTTGGAGTGAATGATAAAGCTGTGATGAAGTTAGAAAGGCAAGAGAATTCAAGCAGAGGAACATCAAGAGTAACCAAGGACCACATAAGGAAAAAAAGAGGGAAGAGACGGCAAACAATTGCTAAGCGCCAGGCAGATGAAAGTGGCATGCATCCTGAAGGTCGTGGAATTGCAAGCATGAGAAACAGAAAATTCTTGAAAGTAAAAATGGGAACTGAAAGGATCGAGAGGGCTGGAGGCAGTAAACTGGAAATAATGGGCCATCAGAAAGACAAGGACATGGGCATGGACGTGAAGAAAAAACCTGATGAGGAAGTTCATGGGATAGAAATGACCAATAAAGTTCAACAAGTTAAAGATTCAGAGGCACAAATCAATAACCAGAAAAGGACAGAACAAGGAGTAAAATCAGATACAGGAAAAGACAGAACGCAAGATGTTAGCACAAATCATGATGATAGTCCACCAGGTAGGACATGGTCAAACCCTAACAATTTTGCAGACACAAAGGAAAGGACACAAGTCATGAATCCTGATGCAACTCAGAAGACTGAGGAAGGGAAGAAAAGAAAAGTCAGTAACACAGAAACACAGCTGCTCCAGAGTTCTCGAGAAGGCAGTAGCATCTCACAAGAGGTCAAAAATCAAAATCCAGATGAAACAGTACAATCAGAGGAAATAATCAGCACCATCAGAGAAGATACAGAGCTAGGGCAAGCTCACAATCTTCCAAATTCTTCTGAACATGCGACTATTGTTGAAAGGGGTGCCAAAGAAGATGAAAACCAAGAGGTTGACTATTATCAAGAAACAGAAGAAGAGGGAGATCATTCTGGAGAATCACAAGATGCCAGAAATCAAAAACCAGATAACACTGCACAACCACAACGAAAAACCTACACTATCAGAGAAGATAGAGAACAAAAGCATGCGGACAATCTACATGCAAAAGCTGCTAACTTTAAAGTTGACAGTGATCAGGACATAGAAGAACAGACAGACAGTACTACAGGCTCTGCTGCCAGCTTGGGAGAGGAGGGAGAGGATGGAGACCACAACGACAAGCCTGAATTTTAGTCTAACAGCAGTGCTAGAAATGCTAATGTTATGCTTCATTTAGAAGTCGATCACAGAAAGCGTCATGTTTAAGGTTAGCTTAGGAAAATAATTCCATTCTGCCCTCTTGCAGCTGTAAAGTTTAGGCATTTGTAGCTTCTATTCACTAATAACTTTATGTCTCTTCAAATAACCCCATGTCCCTAAC